AGATGACGCAATTTTTTTATAATAAAAACACATCCTATATGCACGAATCATTGTATATCTTATTTGCAATTGCAGCGCTCTATCTACAGTAGCTAGGTCTGTATAATTATCATAGTTTGGCACTAGACTATCAGTAATTCAACAAGCCTTTATAGTATTTCTGCGCGAATTGCAGTGAGTATAGAATACGGCTAGCCAAGTTACAAATATATAGAATCTACATATTAAGAGACCGCAACAAGTGCAAGATATTTTTTTGTTTTAAAATCAGTGTGCAAACTCCAAAGGTAGCGCAAATTTGTGTTTATATTATAAAAGCTAATTTACAGGATACTCTTGTGTTAAAAAAGATGCAGTCATTTTTTTCTGACACTTTAAGAAGATGCAGTCATCTTTCCTTAATCAGTTGAACCTAATTTTTTATAATAAAAACACAAATCCTATTATGAATCATTGTATATGATATTGCGGTTGCAGCTACATGCGAATTGTCTGTATTATCATAGTTATAATTTAATAAGCCTGATATTTCTGCGAGAATTGCCTGACTAGAACCGGCCAGCCAAATAGAATGTATATATCAAGAGACCGCAAACAGTACACGAAATCTCTTAGTTTGTTTTAAGATCAGTGTGCAAACGCAAAATTTAGCGCAAATTTTTTTATATTATAAAGACAAATTTGGCGGAAACTCTTGTGTTCAGAAAGATGCAGTCATCTTTTGCTGACAGGTTAAGAAGATGTAGTCATCTTTGCTTAATCAGTTGAACCTAATATAAATCTTTATAATATAAAGACACCGTTCGATCAGGCTTGAATATTGGGTCTTTTTATCACGACGTGATACTCACGCAACTATATAAATAACTCATTTTTTAAAATTAGACGAAACACCATGTGCTAACTTTCAATTACGTGCTGTGAATGCAAGCAGATTGACGACAGCTTTGCCAATTAGTTACACTGGCCTGTAGGCCAAGTGTCTTAAATCCCTCTTTTTCTGTGGGTTGTTTCGACGAGAAATCGAGTTTGCGTTAGGTCGTCGCAAGCTCAGGGTGCAACGTACTCCAGTACATATTCTGTTCAGTTTCCAAATAGCGGCGTTTGACTGAGTGATCTATTAATATATATTTCACACAATTTCGTTGAATTTTCAAAGACTTGTGCCGGCTTCCTATGGATTTGAAGTTGCGTCGCACTCTGGCCTTTCTTGCGTGCTGAATTAGTGTGTTTTTCTTTGTGTAACGACTCGAAAACCCCAAAATTTGGTCCCAGCGAAATTATACAATATAGTAGAATATAAACAAGGACAAGTTAAAGGTTTGACAGTTTGACTTTTTAATTAACAAGTATAAATATACGTTGTAGGCTCATAAACATGCGTTGTGCTCTTGTATATTTATTTGCATAATTATAAATTTGTACCTAATTACATTAATTTGCGCCAAGTTACTTTCTAATTCATCATATATTAATATAAAATGTATGTTCGCGATTGCATTCAGCGAGGTGGCGTTGCGTGCGGCAAAGTGAAACGTGATACCGTTCGATTTGTTATTGGAACAAGATCCAACCCCCCCCCCCCACACACACACTTTTTTAATTCTCAAATTGGTTATTAGATGTTTACTGGTTGAGGTTAGAGAAGGGCTTTGGTTTGAAATCAGTTTATCTTATAAATGGAAGAAATTTTTTAGATGAATCGTCTATGTCTATGAACGTTTTAGTGCTTGAAACAAGCAATATAACGGCATTAATTAAAAATCAAAAAGTATATAATTTCTTGGCTATTATTGGCCCGCCATTAAGGGTTAATAGTTGATGATCATAGTTACAGTAGACCTGGCTTGTCAGTTTGAGTTGCTCGTAGCCGGTGGGTACGTCTAAGCCGGCGTCGTGCTATATTATGTTTGATAGTTGCTGATCATGATTGTGTGTATTGGTTGTATTTATATGATCCAGTATCCCTATGATCCTGTATCCCTATCTACTTCTCTACTACACATTACACCCAGTACCACGAAAGTTGCCATTTCCAGGCCTGTGTGAACGCCTGAGCAGGCGTCTTGTTTAAGGTTACAGGACACCCTTTGTGGAGTTTTGCGGAAAATCGCTACCGCGCGCTGAATATCAGTCCGATTTTCATCACATTTTCACCATATGTTCTCCAGTGCATGCAAAATATGGTGAAGTTGTAAAATTAACAAACAAGATAATAATGTAAGAATTATTCAGGAAAATCTTAAATCGCGGTACCTTACGCTTTTGAGTTGTGCTGCTGCTGGCTTTAAGTTATATTTATGAAAATATCATTTTTATACAGTAAAATAGTTGTTCTAAAAAATATTGTTCAGAAATTTTTATTTATTTCGTCATTCCGCTGATATTGCGATTTCTTTGACGACTGCAATATTTTTGAATTGTTTGAGTGAATTGCTCTTGATTTTTAAAATATCCAAAATTAAAAAATAGCCGATCACAATTTTGAAACTGACGTATTTAGCTATGTCCTGTGAAAATTTGAGAAAAACTGCTTAAAACCCGCAGGAGCACAACTCGTTTGAAAATCAGTAATTACCGTAAAATTTTTCGGGAGAAAATTGAATTTGAATATTACATTTTCAATGTTTTTCTCATTGCAGCGAAATGTATTTTACTAAATAACCCTGCGAGTTTTCAACATTTTTCGTTCAAACTTGGTCAGATAGTAGAACTAGTCTAATGCTTTCATTGAAACCAATAAAAAAATTTTACGCAAAATTAACACTCAAAGGTGTTCTGTAACCTTAAAGTTAATGTAATTTAGGTCTAATTGCATCCGAAGAAACGCACAAATTTTGTGCGACCTTTTATCGGCCATACGGATTCTCTTGCCATTTGTAATTCCCGTCAACAAGGGGTCATAGCGAGCGCGATTCCCAAAATGTTGCTATTGAACCATAAAGCGCACGTTGGAACCAACTTTGTCATTATACATGAATTGTTTGTTAGAGCTGAACAACTGTCGCTCCGTAGCTCAGTTGGTTATAGAGCTGCACCGGTATAGTAGGGTTGCAGGTATGACTCCTGCTAAACAGCTAAAGTGCCAATAGTTGTATTTCCTGCAACAGTTTTGGATTTGGTCTAACTATATAATAACAGGTTTCTAGTTTTTCTGACTGTTACAATAATTAATAACTCAATGCTGTGCATACCAACGCAAGAAAATCCATCACCACTGTATCCAGAATCACACGTGCATGTATAAGATCCTTCTGTGTTGTTACATGTTGCACTCGCGTTGCATGTTGAGTTTGAGAGACATTCGTTCACGTCTAAACGAAAATTATATCAAGTTTTCAACTAATCGTACGAGGTAATCATAAAAGTGGAATTTTTCATGACTTAGTGATACCTTTTCCAAAAGCTGTTAAAAAAAAAACGTGACAATTATTCTCGTTTAAAGAAACCAACCGACGGCCCAGTCAGTCTGTATCGGCGTTCTAATCAAATATTAAGGTGACGAAAATATGCGGGTATCGAGTTGTATTTTTTGCAAATGCTCCTGGTTATGCCTAATAAATGTATATATAAATTCCCGCGTGAACATGAGAATCCGCACGATGTGTGAAACGAATAGCGTTCCAGGTGTTGGTAACCATAGTGTTGTGTCAAAGTTGATGAATGATGACATAAATTAATTATCGAATCTTGGTGCATATTTGTATTATGGTATCCTTGAAGCAAAGCTTCGTTTCATATTAACTACTGAATCAGTTTCTGTTGCAGTATTCTTAAAAAACTATTAAACATATTTGCATGCATGTATAATTAGTTAGTAGCCTATTTAAGCCAAGTAAACATTTCGTATATGGGGTTTTTATTAGTTAGCTAAATAAATCGAAGTACGTTGTAGTTGGTTTGTGTGCTTTCTGTCATTTATCGAAACATAGTGTCAGGAGTAGGATTGTGACAAGCACAGAAGCTGCAAATATGTCTGTTACTGAAGAGGTGGAAAATCTAAACGGGCCAGAGTCAAGTACAATGCCAAAGGGCAAGATACACAAACGACACAAGCTTCGGTGTCTATAGCGATAATTCCAACATGAATTTCGGCTCCTAAAGCACTGTTGATGGAAGGAAACATGGCAGCAAATTGGATGAAATTTCGCCGAGAATGGGAGAACTATGCAATTATTTCTTGGCTCGAACAATTCGACGAACGTTTCAAGACGGCGTTGTTTTTGTTAGTAATTGGCGACGGGGCGATGGAAGTTTATGATGGAATGCATTTGGCAGATAGCGATGACAAGCAGAAGCTAAATAAAGTTATCGAACAATTTCAAACCACATTTATCGGCGAGACCAATGAAACCTATGAACGGTTTATATTTAATAGTCGCAATCAGAAAGAAGGAGAAACAATCGAGCAATATATTATTGTGTTGAGAACTTTGGCACAATCGTGTAACTTTTGTACTTGTCTGAAAGAAACCCTGTTGCGAGATGGGGTTGTTTTGAGTGTTAAAGACAATTCTGTTCGAAAGAAACTCCTACAAGAACGAAAGTTAACATTAGCAAAGGCCCTAGATATTTGTCGAAGCAGTGAGACGACTTCCAAGCAATTGCGAAATATGATAAGCCTCAATGAGAAGTCAATCGACCATTAAATCAAAGCAATTAGAGAACAATGTCAAGGAAATCGGCGTGGTGACCCTTCAAGATCCCGCGAGAAAAAGATTTGCAAATATTGCGGGGGAATGCATGAATTTGATAAGAATTCCTGCCCAGCATATGGAAAGTCGTGTAAGAACTGTGGTTTTCGCAATCATTTCTCAAGGGTTTGCCAGACGAAACGGAATGAAACTACACGATCGGTCAAGGAGATTACCAAAGATGATTCTAGTGACTCTGGTGATTCAGTGTACACAGTTTCCGTTTTGCCCGAGTTTCCGGATGATCAAGAGGTTTTAGCGGTGCAAACAAAATATAAACAATTCAAGAGTAAAATTCTAACCGTAATGAACATTAAAGGGGGAAAAGAGACAAGTTTTCAAGTCGATACGGGCGCCACTTGCAATGTGATTAAACGGAAGGAACTGTCTGGGACGAAATATATGAATAAAATGAAGAAAACAAAGCAAGTCCTCAAGATGTATAACTCTTCCACTTTGAAACCAGTCGGTCAGTGTATGGTGCAATTACAAAATCCTGAAACATGCAAGAAGTACAAGGTTGAATTTACGGTTATAGACGGTGAGAACTGTACGATTTTTCTAGGAAGTCGAGCAGCACAGCAGGTGGGTCTTGTTAATGTGAATTACCACAACATGAAAATTCTGTCAGAGTCAGACCAGAAAGGGGATTCACATACCACGATGGCGACATCAGAGTCAAGTCCGACGGAAAGGTCGACGCATTCCACATTCCATATTGACCTCTCCAGAATCAAGTTAAACTGGATTGACCATGGAACAGATCACTATAGCGAATACAAAGATATTTTCGAGGGACTGGGGCAGCTTGGACAGAAACTGCATTTGGAACTAGAAGAAAACGTGAAACCTGTACAACAAGCAGTGAGAAAAATACCTGAGTCCATGAAAGATCCACTGAAAAGCCACCTAGCCGAGCTCGAAGACAAAGGTATAATCAAGAGAGAGTGTATCAACCTACAGAATGGATAAATTCTATTGTTGTTGCAAAGAAATCCAATGGAAGTATTCGCCTATGGCTAGATCCTCGTCCACCTAACAAGGTACTCAAGAGATGTCACCACCCCATGCAGACCATTGAAGATATATTACCTGAGCTTGGTAAAGCAAAAGCTTTCTCCAAGTTGGGGCTGTCTCAATGGTTATTGGCAAGTCCCTTTGGATCAAGAATCTTCCCTCCTCACGACGTTTTGAACGCCTTTGGTCGGTATAAATGGAAACGTTTACCGTTTGGTATTTCTCCAGCGGGTGAGATATTTCAGAGCCGTTTAGATCAAGCGATCGACGACCTTGAGGGAGTCAAGACAGTCGCTGATGATATTCTGGTGATAGGAAATGGCGAATCATTGGCAGAAGCAATCATTGACCATGACGCCAAAATGAAGCAACTGTTGGATCGATGCAGAGAGCGGGGAGTGAACCTGAATGGAACGAAATTTTTGCTGAAGCAAACGTCAGTTCCTTACATCCGACACGTTCTGACATCTGCAGGGGTGAAATCTGACCCAGCCAAGATTGAGGCGATCATTAAGATGGAGGGACCCACAAGCGTAGAAGGAGTACGAAGAATTATGGGAACCATCAACTATTTAGCCAAATTTTTGCCACAGTTGTCTGACGTTTCGGAACCTTTGCGACAACTTACTAAGAAGGACGTTGTTTTTGTATGGGATCAAGTTCATGACCAAGCATTCACAAAGTTGAAAAAGCTCGTTAGCATGCCGCCTTTACTCAAGTTCTACGAACCTGAGAAAGAATTGGTCATACAGTATGATGCAAGCGAAGGGGGACTTGGGGCTGCTTTATTGCAAGATGACAGACCAATAGCTTATGCAAGTCGAGCACTCAATTCGACTGAGCGTAATTACGCTCAAATTTAGAAGGAACTCTTGGCGATTGTGTTCGCGGCAGAACAATTTTATCAGTACACATTTGGAAGACCAGTATGCGTTGACTCTGACCACAAACCATTGGAAACCGTATTTGCGAAGCCTCTCGTTTCTGCGCCCAGACGGTTACAGAGAATGTCGATGCGGCTACAAATGTATGACCTGAGTGTGAGATATACAAAAGAGGGACTGAATTATATCTTGCAGATACGCTAAGTGACAGCGGTACAAGAGACCAGAGAAGCAGATGTTCTGAATTACTTGTCAGATGCGGAGATAGAGCAGGGAGAGCATGAGGAAATCATGGAGATCAACCAATTGTTGGCGAGTGAAGATGTTGCTAAAATGTATCGAGATAAAACAGATCAAGATGAAGATTTGCAGGTGTTAAAGAGAGTCATACAGTCCGGATGGCCTGTGGTTAAGAACAACCTGCCAGCCGCAGTGGGTCCTACTTTCATATCCGTGATGAATTGGTGGTCCAAGATGGGCTGATATTTTGCGGTGATCGACTAGTTATTCCTAAGGCACATCGAAAGACAATGATGGAAAGTCTTCATGCCAGTCACCAAGGGATCGAAACAACTCTGAGAAGGGCGAGAGAAACCATGTACTGGCCAAATATGAATGCGGAGATCAAAGATTATGTGAAAAAATGCGACTTATGTTGTAGTATTGGGCCTAAGCAATCAAAAGAAACACTCATCTGTCACAAGGTTCCTGACCGGCCATGGGGAAAGATCGCCACAGATTTGTTCGAGTTCGATGGCAAGGAGTATTTGGTAACAGTTGATTATTTCTCGATTTTTTTCGAGATTGACCGCCTCTACTGTACGCAGGCCGTATCCGTTATTCGAAAGCTCAAGGCGCACTTGGCGCGATATGGCATTCCTGAAGAATTAATAAGTGATCAAGGTCCTCAGTTTACCTCTGGAAAATTCAAGAATTTCTGTGCGAGTTATGGAATGAAGCATACCATGACTAGCCCGCATTATCATCAGGCAAATGGAATGGCCGACACTGCTGTTAAACAAGCTAAACGAGTCCTGAAAGTAGCCAAGATGTCTGGACGAGCCCCACATTTAGCTTTGTTGGACCTCAGAAATACTCCTCAAGAAGGTTTCAGTTCAAGCTCAGCACAGCGATTGATGAGCAGGCGGACCAAAACTGTCTTGCCAATTTCGAAAGGTTTGCTAAAACCAGCAGTTACTGAAAACACGAAACAGCAAAGAAGAGCGCGTCAAGAACGACAGAAGAAATTTTACAACCGAGGAGCAAGAGATTTGCCAGCATTGGCTGCAGGTGACCAAGTATGGATATAGCCAGTCAAAGTTGGGGATCGAGAATGGAAGAAAGCAACCGTTTTAAGAGAAGCGGGTATAAGGTCCTATGAAGTCGAAACAGAGAATGACCGAACTCTTATTCTGAATCGAAGACATTTGAAGGAAGCAAAATCAAGATCTGCAAATGGCGATGATTTTCAACAGATCCAAGAATTACCTAAAACACCTGAAGTTGCCAAGCGGGGATCAAGCAGGTTTGATGGAGAAACAGACCGTATTCCCGAGCTTACTCCGGATCCAGATCGAGGCGCCCAAAGCAGTACTGATTCCGGTATGCTGTCTGGTGAGTGACATAAGAGACAATATAATTACTCGAACGCGGAGTGGTAGAATTAGTCAAAGACCGAAGTATTTGGACGATTATAGTACCTAGTGGGATCATAAACGTTTACTTATTTATCAGATAAATAGACAATAACGATAGAATCTCTTTTTCTATGAAAGGGAGGATGTTGCAATATTCATAAAAAACAATTAAACATATTTTCATGCATGTATAATTAGTTAGTAGCCTATTTAAACCAAGTAAACATTTCGTATATAGGTTTTTTATTAGTTAGCTAAATAAATCGAAGTACGTTGTAGTTGGTTTGTGTGCTTTCTGTCATTTACCGAAACAGCTTCTTTAATATCTCGACTTCGTATTACACATTGCAAATTGTGGTCGTCATATAAAAACATAAAATCGCGCGCCATATTCGAATATTGGAGCAAACAGAACATGCGAAGCGCATCAATGACGATGTTCAAGCGAATGTTTGCCCACAACTTAGATGATAAGAAAATTTGGTGCGGATACAATAAGTCGCTTCTTAGCAAAACATTCAAGTGTTTTCCATCAGAGGTTAAACTGGTCAAACGTGATGACTTGCGAGACGACGAAGGTCGCCAAGTATCGGCGCATCGCCATTTCTTTGGCGTGGTAAAGAGTCTGCCACAGCAGATGCTATGTTCTCGTCGTTTGGGGCAAGTCAGGCATTCGAATCAATGCCATCAGAGCAAAGTTTGTAGTCTTTGAGCAGTTGCTTTTGGATATAGCTGTTAATTGTCCCTATCAAGCTAGTGTGCAAACGCCAAATCTAGCGCAAATTTATGTTTATATTATAAAGACCAATTTAGTGGAGACTCTTGTGTTCACAAAGATGCAGTCATTTTTTGCAGACAGGTTAAGAAGATGTAGTCATCTTTGCTTAATCAGTTGAACCTAAATTTTTATAATAAAAACACATCCTATATGCACGAATCATTGTATATGATATTTGCGATTGCAGCGCTCTATCTACAGTAGCTAGGTCTGTATAATTATCATAGTTAGGCATTTCGGCTATCAGTAATTGAACAAGCATTAATAGTATTTCTGCGCGAATTGCAGTGAGTATAGAATACGGCTAGCCAAGTTACAAATATATAGAATCTACATATTAAGATACCGCAACAAGTGCAAGAAATTGTTTTGTTTTAAAATCAGTGTGCAAACGCCAAAGCTAGCGCAAATTTGTGTTTATATTATAGAAGCTAATTTACAGGATACTCTTGTGTTAATTAAAAAAGATGCAGTCATTTTTTGCTGACAGGTTAAGAAGATGCAGTCATCTTTGCTTAATCAGTGGAACCTAAATTTTTATAATAAAAACACACTTCCTATTATGAATCATTGTTCAGTATATGATATTGCGGTTGCAGCTCCGTGCGATAGGTCTGTATTATCATTCTTATAATTCAACAAGCCTGATATTTCTGCTCGAATTGCCTGACAAGAACCGGGCAGCCAAATAGAATGTATATATCACGAGAGCGCAAACAGTAAACGAAATCTCTTTGTTTTAAAATCAGTGTGCAAACGCAAAAGTTAGCGCAAATTTGTGTTTATATTATAAAGAACAATTTAGCTGAAACTCTTGTGCTCAGAAAGGTGCAGTCATCTTTTGCTGACAGGTTAAGAAGATGCAATCATCGTTACTTAATAAGTTGAACATAAATTTTTATAATAAAAACACACACTGGCTATTATGAATCATTGTATATGATATTGCGGTTGTAGCTACATGCGAATGGTCTGTATTATCATACTTATAATTTAACAAGCCTAATATTTCTGCGCGAATTGGCTGACTAGAACCGGCCAGCCAAATAGAATGTATACATCAAGAGACCGTAAATAGGACACGAAATCTCTTAATTTGTTTTAAAATATGTGTGTAAACGCCAAAGTTAGGGCAAATTTGTGTTTATATTATAAAGCCAAAATTTGGCGGAAACTCTTGTGTTGAGAAAGATGCATGCAGTCATCTTTTGCTGGCAGGTTAAGAAGATGTAGTCATCTTTGCTTAATCAGTTGAACCTAATAGAAATCTTTATAACATAAAGACACTGTTCGATCAGGCTTGAATATTGGGTCTTTTTATCACGACGTCATGATACTCTTGTGTTAAAAAAGATGCAGTCCTTTACAGGATACTCTTGTGTTAAAAAAGATGCAGTCATTTTTTTCTGACACTTTAAGAAGATGCAGTCATCTTTCCTTAATCAGTTGAACCTAAATTTTTATAATAAAAACACAAATCCTATTATGAATCATTGTATATGATATTGCGGTTGCAGCTACATGCGAATTGTCTGTATTATCATAGTTATAATTTAATAAGCCTGATATTTCTGCGAGAATTGCCTGACTAGAACCGGCCAGCCAAATAGAATGTATATATCAAGAGACCGCAAACAGTACACGAAATCTCTTAATTTGTTTTAAGATCAGTGTGCAAACGCAAAATTTAGAGCAAATTTTTTTATATTATAAAGACAAATTTGGCGGAAACTCTTGTGTTCAGAAAGATGCAGTCATCTTTTGCTGACAGGTTGAGAAGATGTAGTCATCTTTGCTTAATCAGTTGAACCTAATATAAATCTTTATAATATAAAGACACCGTTCGATCAGGCTTGAATATTGGGTCTTTTTATCACGACGTGATACTCACGCAACTATATAAATAACTCATTTTTTAAAATTAGACGAAACACCATATGATAACTTTCAATTACGTGTTGTGAATGCAAGCAGATTGACGACAGCTTTGTCATTTAGTTACACTGGCCTGTAGGCCAAGTGTCTTAAATCCCTCTTTTTCTGGTTTTTTTCGACGAGAAATCGAGTTTGCGTTAGGTCATAGCAAGCTCAAGGTGCAACGTACTCCAGTGAAATATTCTGTTCAGTTTCAAAATGGCGGATTTTGACTGAGCGATCCCTCTTAATATATATTTCACACAGTTTCGTTGAATTTTCAAAGACTTGTGGCGGCTTCCTATGGATTTTAAGTTGCGTCGCACTCTGGCCTTTCTTGCGTGTTGAATTAGTGTGTTTTTCTTTGTGTAACGACTCGAAAACCCCAAAATTTGGACCCAGCGAAATTATACAATATAGTGGAATATAAACAAGGACAAGTTAAAGGTTTGACAGTTTGACTTTTTAATTAACAAGTATAAATATACGTTGTAGGCTCATAAACATGCGTTGTGCTCTTGTATATTTATTTGCATAATTATAAATTTGTACCTAATTACATTAATTTGCGCCAAGTTACTTTTTAATTCATCATATATTAATATAAAATGTATGTTCGCGATTGCATTCAGCGAGGTGGCGTTGCGTGCGGCAAAGTGAAACGTGATACCGTTCGATTTGTTATTGGAACAAGATCCAACTCCCCCCACACTTTTTAATTCTCAAATTGGTTATTAGATGTTTACTGGTTGAGGTTAGAGAAGGGCTTTGGCTTGAAATCAGTTTATCTTATAAATGGAAGCAAACTGGCGTATTTTTTTAGAAGAATCGTCTATGTCTATAAACTTTTTAGCACCTGAAACAAGCAATATAACGGCATTAAAAATCAAAGAGTATATAATTTCTTCGCTATTATTGGCCGTCATTAAGGGTTAATAGTTGATGATCATAGTTACAGTAGGCCTGGGTTCTCAGTTTGAGTTGCCCGTAGCCGGTGGGTACGTCTGAGCCGGCGTCTTGCTATATTATGTTTGATAGTTGCTGATCATGATTGTGTGTATTGGTTGTATTTATATGATCCAGTATCCCCTTGATCCTGTATCCCTATTTACTTCTCTACTACACATTACACCCAGTACCACGAAAGCTGCCAT